ACTACAAACATTTTTCCTCATTTTTTTCTCCTTTAAATGAATGTTTATCCATTTGTTTAGTTTTTTTTTTTGTCTTTCTTTCTCAGTTTCTGGAAGGGATTTCCCCACTCTCATCCTTCCTTGCCTTTATTCATTATTTTTTTTTAATTTTATTTCACTGGTAGATAAATTATAGTCTGTCCATAATGACTTCATATAATATAAAAAGTTTTACTTTTTTTTTTCTTTCTTCTTAACTTATGTGGGCAGGGGATTTCTTTTCTAAATTTATTCCTTTACCATTTTTTTTTTCTTTTTTGAATTTTTAATCAATATTTTTTTTTTTTTATTTTGGCTTTTTTCTTTTCCTTCTCAACAATTCTCTGAATTTATGAAGCAAGAAAAAGCTAAACTCCCATGTAAGCAAGAGAAAATAAAAATATTGAATTCCCATTATGTGAAATATAATAGAAATCATAATGGGCTATGTTTATTTGAATGTATTGCCACAATTCATTCTGAAGTGAAGCAAATAAAATAACCCAAATTTTATTTCTGCTCTTTGTAAGAAAACTCTTTAGTTTTCATTTTTTTTTCTTCAAGAAACAGTAATTAAAAAAAAAAAAAAAAATTTCTTTAATTTGTTGTGATTAAACATTTTTAGTGAATATGGTATGGAGGAGACAAAGAGGGGACCTCAGAGAGGTGGAATGTGGGGAGAGGAAAAAAAATCCTACACATTTAAAATATTTTATAAAAAAGAATCTTAAATTCATTCTCTCCTTTTCTGATTATATAAAAACGTGTCTATTCTCTTATTACTACACTTCAAACTTCTTGCTAATTTGTTCATAAAAATGTGTGTATGTGTTTTCATATGTGTATGTGTGTACATACACACATGTACCAGCACCAACTAAGGGAAAGAAAACATGGTGAAACGGCCAATTTTTTTTTTTTTTTTAAAGGACTAGGAGAGACCCCAAGGAAAGCACCTACAGAAATTATTCTATTTCAAAGCTTCAGAACAAAAAAAAAAAAAAAAAACACAGTTGCATGTATATATACTTGAGAATGTATTTTACATATTTACCATTCTTTAACAAGAAACATTTAAGTATTTTGGGTTCTTTTATTTATTTTTTTTAAACATTTAATTTTTTAAAACATTTAACAAAAGAAAAAAAAAAAAAAATGATAAATTTAGTCTTAAAAAACTGACCATTGACTTCTGCATGAGTGTGTGTTGGCTAGCAGCAGTAACAGGGCGAGATAATGGGCACCTTATTCACAAACAAATCAAAGCTTCACCTGGTCTCTGCTGTAAGAATGACCAGCTAGAAACATGAATTATACAAACTGTCATCTGATGATGGATAAGTCAGAGATAGACAAAAAAAAAAAAAAAAGATGTCTTGGTAAAATTCTAATATTAGCAAAATGTTTAACTACTTGCACTTTGAAGAAAAGTGGCTCCTAGATGATTATTATATAATCTTGAATTTTTTGCACAACTATCTCATGATTCTGAACAAATGTGATATAAATATCTTAATGTTATATAAAAATCTTTTTTTCATTTTACTAATATTTTAAGTTTCAAATGACAAAGATTGTGCAATAATAATGTAGGAGAATCATTTGGTAATTCAAGTGAAACCAAACAGTTATAAATGTAAATATATATGTTAAAATGTTACAAGAAACCTGGCAATAGTGTCAGTTATCTGAATTTAGTGACAGTGAATTATATCCATTTATTTAATTCTTTAAAAGACATGAGGGAGAAACATGAGGGTTCTTAAGATATCCTGTGTTGATAGCAAAATTCACATTTGTACAGAGGGAGAGAAATAAGAACACAGGTAGGTAAATTATTCTGAACACACACACACATTATATATATATATATATATATATATATATATATATATATATATATATAACAATGTCCAATATACAAAGGTACCATACCTGGAACAAGAGAGAGAAGAATATTGCCTGACTGAAAGGGAGAAAAAGAAAAAAAAACCTTGAGACAAACATGTTTTAGAGAAACGGAGGAAAATAGAATGTCCAATTTAGATTAAAAACATTTTTTGGTAATTATTTTTCAATAATGCTTTATTTTAATTGTATTCATAACCTTTGTCGTCATCGTCACAGTCATTGTATAAAACAGTCATGCTGGTGGTGGTCATAGTTAACAAAGAGAAAAGAAGAGACTGATGGAGCAGAAGGACAGGCAGATAGCCTGCATGACCCAACAGCAATCAGTATATCATTCAGTTTGAAACTGGCCTGCATATAAGAACAACACCTAACACTGTCTTCTTCCATCCCATATCCTGAAAGCATGGCTCCCAGCAGTTTGTCAGTTTCTGACCCACAAAGTGAAAGGCCTTTTTCCTTTAAACCAGGACAGGGGAAGGACACCCCAACATTTTTTTTTTTTTTTTTTTTTTTATATTAAGAAGGACATGGGGATGGGGAATATTCTTTTTTTTTCTTCTGAAACACTAAAAAGAAAATTTGGAAAGAAAGAAAATTGAATGAATAGATGGAGGAGGAGATGAATTTGTGAGAGGCCAGGAGACACAAAAGATAAAAATAAAGAGGAAAGGTTTCCTTGTTACTAAGAAACAAAAGAAGAAAAGGAGAATAAACAAGGAAAAAGAAAAAACAAAAAAAAAACTTGTACTTGAAAACACGAAAAATGAATTCAGCATAAAACATTGAGAATAACAACTGAAACTTTTTTTTTTTTTTTTTTTTTTAAACAGGCATAACAGTGCATATGAACACGTTTGCATGTAAAGGGCTTCCCATCAATCAGTTGCAGAAACATTTAAATATATGAATATTCATTACATAACTATATTAATAAGAGAGGGTGTGTGTGTGTGTGTGTGTGTGTGTGTGTGTGTGTATACACATGCGTAAAGAAAAAAGGCTAAAATGAAAATGAATCATTTTCTTTTCACCTCTTGAGCTTTCTTCTACAAGTCGAGTGACTAATCAAATTTCTTAAGACTTTTACTGTTGACATCTATCTCCTGCTAAAATCAGATTCTACGCACAAGACTGAAGGAAAATACACAGATCACGTTTTTGAACTTCTTCTCAGTTCTCTTTGAGCAAATTGTTTGTGGAAACAGATTTACACCAAACTGACACTGGAGGGGATAGAGAGGGGGGAACTGTAGAGCACCCCACCTCCACCAACCCCCCACCAACCCCAAGTGCTATTATGGTTTGTTGTATTTAGTGACTTCATTGAAGCATGGAGGAGCAAGTTTTACAATACCAAAATTCATTTTTGTGTTTTTCTCTTTTGTCACTCACTAAACGGGACACACGAATATACACTTGATAACAAACTATCCTTTTAGTTGAGGTTAACAACAACCAAAAGAATGGAATATATGTGTACGTGTGTGCAGTTTGTATCAATTCATCAAACGAGACTTTAACCAAGGGGAACAACTCTTTAAACTTAAAAACTTTGGCATGGTTTCATAGCTTTCCATCCCAGCAAAAAGTTTAAAAAATTAAGTTATAAAGTTAAACATTCATTAATAGCTGCTTTTCATACCCTCCCCCTCTTCCTTGTAGAGTAATATAAGACAAAAAAAAAAAAAAAAAAAAAACTCCAATAATAAAATAAAGTGAGAGGAGGGTGGGGATATATAATACAAATAGGTCTTCAATGCACTTTTAATAATCAGCTTTATAAAAGATCTTTGGTAGCACTTTTATGTGTTTCTATGGGCATGTTTGCATGTATTAAATTCATTCAAAAGAGAATTAGAAAAGGCGATGGAAGTCAACTTTATTAGGAAATTTGTTTAAAAAAAAAATTTTTTTTTTAATTTTTTGCTAATATTTTTGCAGATTTTTTTCCTCACTCCTATAGGATTTTTTAAAATTTATTTATTTATTTATTTATTTTTTTTTTTTAAGTTGAGGGGAAAAAATGCTCCCACTATCCTCCAATCTGTGTGAACCCTTGGAGGGAGAGAGAGAGAGAAAGAGAGATATAGAGAAATAAAGATAGCATTATGTTATTTTTTTAATTCAATGTTAAAAGGTTCATTTATTTTAAAAGGGAGAAAAAAAATCCTGAGATCATAAAATCTTGTGGTTTTATTTTTTCCCCAAATTTAAATACTGAACAGCGAGCTGTAAGAACTGAAAAATATGCTCGTCATAATTATTCATTTAAAAAAAAAAAAAAAAAAATTTTTTTAACACATAGCATCTCAATTTTCAAAGGTCATGCTCAACTAACTTGTATTATTACATAGAGCAGAGCAGGTTTTTAACAGTGTAAGAGGGCAGCAGGAAGGGGGGAAAAAAAAAAAGTGTGAAGAGTGAGCTTAGCATAAAGGACACCCCTGCAAACACACCACCGCCTGTCCCCCTACTCCACAAACATCCCCCTCAGATATGTGTTTTGAGGGGGTAAGAAAAAAAAAAAAAACATCAAGAAGGATGGGGAGGCATGTTTCTGTTAACAGTGATATTACCTGCTCCTGCACCTCTTCCTTCTCCTCCTCCTCCTCATCATCATCAACCTCATTGTCATATTACATGCAGTCCCCCCCCCTCCCAAATAGTTATACTGTTGCTGTCATCTGTAGTTTAGTCCAGTCATCTGTCATTCTTTGTGAGAAAAGAGTAAGAGTCAGTGAGTGGAGTCCTTGTGGTCATTCTTCACCTCTCATCACCAGTGAGATCTGCAACAGCTGAATGATTGGCTCTCAAAAAGTCAGAGTACTTGTTAGTCTTGTTCTTCAGTAGAAATAGTAGTCATTGTCATAGTAATAGTAGTTATAGTAGCTGTAATAATAGGTGGTAGTAGTAGTTGTTGTTGTTGTTGGTAGAACACAAGCTGTAATCATGTGACAAGAATTGGTTGGTAGGTGATGGTGGAAGTAGTAGTAGTAGTGGTGGTGGTAGTGGTGGTTTCTCTATGAAATAATGATTCTTAAAGATGCTCCATCTCAGCAGAGGGTTCACTAGTCACTGCTGAAACCCTGTAAGTAAACCAAATAAAATAAGTTGTAGAATAAAATTTAAAAGTCAAATTTGATATTCATATTCACTCCACACAAAAAGGCCCAAACAAAGAAATGTGTACTGCAAAAACAGAAATCAATCTGGAAAAGTAAAGTTAATTTTATTTCACTTTTTTCAAAATTTATCTTCTTAATATGAATTTTATCAAGTTAGCATACAAGAATTAAACTGAAACAATTATTACAAATAGGTAAATCATTGCTTTTTAAGGGGGGATATATTTTAAACATTTTCAGATTTGATGAGAAAAATTTAATGTGCACTTTAATATACAATACAGTAATAAAAGACAATGTTCCCAAACATTAAAATGAAAATCAACTGTTCTGCTTTTCCCTCTGTAATTATCTCTCCACTACAAATTATTTTCCATCTTACAATTTAGCCATCAAAGTTATTCCACTGTAAAAGTATCAAATTATAATTATAAAAGATACAGCAACTGACACTCACAAATACAAGTGATGAGCAGAGAGTGAGTTCATGTGTAAAAAAAAAAAAAAAAAAAGTAGGGGGAGTGTTTTTAAAACACAGCCATTATAGACATTTTAAAAAACACTGTTGCTATACAATTTTCCTGTCCACATTCACAATACAAGTATACTACAAGAAAAAAAAATTGCAACTGCATAAGTTAAAGTTGCCTCCCTTAGATGACATAATAGTTTTAGCAGTTAATTCTTAAATTGATTATAATGGAGCGTGTTCATAGGTGTTTTCTAATTATAACAGAGCACATTCCATGCACACTTACAAAAAAATTGACAACTAACAATTACATTAATTTTTTTGTCTTAGCAATTCATCCCTGAAGATGAACTTGGATGAGATTGAAAGTAATTAGGAAAATAAAAGAAATGAAAAAATTATGGCACCTTCCTTAATGAATTTTATATTAAGTTGATCCAAGAATTTGAGAGGATTAAAATAAAAATAGACATATGTCCAGATTATTCAACTAATATATATATATATATATATATATATATATATATATATAGAGAGAGAGAGATGGATGGATGGTAATAGTGAAATTAGGTATTTTCATACAGGAAACATCCAATGCAGTTAATGTTACTGCTGGTAGAAATTTATAAAATCTTTTGCTTTAAACAGTTTTTGAGGAAATTAAACTTCACAAGTGAACTGGTATCACCAATTCTAATACTTATGGAAGTTTACCCTCTCCCCCAGCATTTAGTTTTTCGTAGTGTGAAAAATTTAACAGCTTGATTATATTGTTATTTTCTCTTGTTATACATACACAAAAAAATCTCACTTTATAATTTGTATGCATATAATCACTGATATTTCTGTAAGAGTCAAAAATTGATTTCACACTGAAGTAGAGGACTTAAAAAAAAATCTGACTTAAGGTTTGTTATAATATTTTAATTTTTTTATTTTTTTTATTTTATTTGTTAAAATTACCAATATGGTTTTAAAATAATTAAATTACAGGCTTTGGGCATCTCGGTGTGGTGTAATTGTTAGCAAGCTTGTCTCACTAGATCAGTTATGACTGAAAAGTCAGTTCGATCCTCACTAGATGCCACATATTTTCAGCCTTGTGTCACATCTAAGCTACACTTAGAAAATAACCATTAAAGTACAGGCTATATGCATAGAAAATTTCCATAAGATTTCTCGGATATTGTCATTCACCTCATCCATCAATTCAAACCCATTTGTTTATGTAACTTGCCATATATATATATATATATATATATATATATATATATATATATATCTCAATCACCTTGCTTGACTTTTATTACGATATAATATTTTGTGAATCAGCTATTAATACTGACAAATATGATAGACCAGGTAAAAGGAGTTAAAACCACTAAAAAAGAAATCAGTACTCAGTACTTAAAAACACTGTTGCCTCACTTCATACAATTGAATAAAAATCTCAACTAGTTTTTATAGCATATTGCACACTGATACTTTTAGGTAATGTATTAAGCACAATAGCGACATTAACAATTCAATCTTTTTGCAACATTTAAAAACCTGTAAACAAAGCAATCATGCAGTTTATCACACTCCATCACAGTTAATTTTGTTGTAGTAATAACACTTAAGAGAAGGGCTAAAACCTAAGTATATGAAAATTTATTTCTGTAGAAATTTGGGCAGAAAATAGCTTTTTAAAAGTGCTTACTCACTATTTGAATACTTTGCAATGTCAAGCAGAAATCTTACAATAAAACCAGTGATTGCTTTTATGTATCTTATGGCCAACAAAACAACTGGATCCTGAGGACTAAATATGTCTGAGGGTAACATGGCTTGTGAATAACCACGGGAGAGGTGGTATTGACCAGAGGTCATTAGATATCATGAAAGGTCAGTTTAGGACGAAAGTGCTATTTCCAACAAAACTGCAGCAAGAGGTATCTTTTTATACTATACTACATAAACCAGAAGTACTGTAATTGAAAAAGGAGAGAGAGAGAATGTGAAGGTGCCAAGTGGTACAATAAATGGAATCCACAAGCACGATTTAAACTCCAACTGTTTTAATCTGGGTGCTCTTTGTACTAATGTTCTTCATAAAGGCATGAATTAAAATAAATGATGCAAATGACTTTGAAAGAAGAAAAAACAAATAATTTCCATAAGAAATAAGAAATTTAATTTAGGTTCTGTATTTGTGTTTTTGCAACAATTCTATTTTAATTGCTTGAAAGCAACAATTCTGAGAGAAGCAACAATTCTGGCATGTCAGTATCTTTTTTTTTTTTGTATAATTAATACAAAAAGAAGAGCAAACTTATTTGTTTTAGATAGTAGGAATCTGGGTAAAACCAGGTAAATCTGCTAGTTATCTATAATATTTTTATTTCACTTAAACATAATACTGTAGTATATAACTTTTTTTTTTTTTATTCAACAGAAGAAATATCTTCTGATATCATATGATAGGAAAAGAGAAAGAAATTTTACTTAGCATTCAGATGCAAAAGATCTTTATAATCTGCCCAAAAATATGACCATTAAAATTTACAAAGATCTACTTAATACAAGGTTTTGATCAAAAAGTACTGGAACTGGTGATATAAAAAGAAAACTACAACACATCAATTCAGTATTTAATCTCCTTCAAAGGAGGAGTCCTTCTGAAGCCACACACTTTATCCAGCATAGTTTCCATTGATGGAAGCATTCCTGGAACTCTTTTTTTTGGGATAGCGAATAACTGCCTCACCACATTCTCTTGGATTGTCTTGACATCTTGAATTCTTGTTTCTTTCAAGTGGGATTTGATTTTTTGAAGAGGGAAAAGTCAAGACAAGATCTGGGGAATATGGTGGTTGTTGGACCTGGCCAAAAACTATGTCACAAACCATGGTCACTAATGGAACCTCTGTAGCGTAGTGAGATGACCACACTCTCCTTCCAAGCACTGCTCTAAACAAGAACATTATGACAGTGTGTATGCACAATAGAGTTCAAGGTCAATCTGTGCCAAGTGGCTTCACACTGCATACTTGAGCTCCATTACCATAGCAATAGTCCCAATACTTTTTGGTCAGACCTCGTATACAAACTCACAATAACCAATGGAGTAAGTTCTTTAGCCAATTGGCAAATTCTAGAAAGGATCATTCTGTTGAGTATAATTAGATAACTCTTACTTCCTACATAGTATTGTAGATAGATTAAAATGAAGAGAATATATCACCTAACACAAAAGATGTGCCATTCTATGTAATTGTGATAAGGTTTACACACAAGGGCTTTACTGTTAGGGTAGTGGGTGCTCTGACAAAGTCATAGAGAATGTCAGCAAAAATTGTACACTTTTTAACATTGCAATTGTTGGTGCACATATTTGCTTACACAGATTTTAGCCTGAACTGCAGCAAAACGCTGATTTAAGGAAGGCTGGGAGGTCTTCCCATTGGCAAGTAAGTCCTAAGTTCAAGTTCCTGAAATTCAAAAAGATTTTTAATTTTAGGGCAAAAAGTATGTGTGCTTGTGTACAAGTTTTCCACTTTACAAAGCAAATTCTTAAGCAAAAGAAATTAAAAGTGCCACAATTACATTCACTTAAATGTAATGAGAATATCCCCAGGATTTCATTTTATATTTCAAACAGATTGACACACTGATAATGTTATTCTATTACTAGTAAACAATGAAAGATCTAAAGAGGATTTCTATTTATAGAAGAGCTACAAGAATTTAACAGTACGAAATAAGTGATTATACAAATGTGTTTGCTATGAGAAAGCGATTCATACAAAACATTTTAATTTTTTATTTAAACATTTTCACTGTTGTACTCTCTAACCTTCTTCAGGTATCGGTAACCTCCGACAAATTTACAATCTGTTTTATAATTGTAATCTCCTTCACAAACTGTATTTCTGCATTACTTGACCTAGTGATTGAACACAATTTATACAGAATCTAATGTCTTTAACTATATTTACTCATGGATTATCTCTAAATTATTTGTTTTGTTTAATGGCATATCAAATCCAAGTGGGTCATCTAATGTCAAAGCAAGTTATTATAAGTGTCATTCATAAACCCTACTCGTGTCATTCATAAACCCTACTCGTGTCATTCATAAACCCTACTCGTGTCATTCATAAACCCTACTCGTGTCATTCATAAACCCTACTAATTGTCATTCATAAACCCTACCGTCATCATTCATAAACCCCACGTCATTCATAAACCCTACTTGTCATTCATAAACCCTCATCATTCATAAACCCTACTAAGTGTCATTCATAAACCCTACTGTGTCATTCATAAACCCTACTGTGTCATTCATAAACCCTACTAATGTCATTCATAAACCCTACTCGTGTCATTCATAAACCCTACTCGTGTCATTCATAAACCCTACTCGTGTCATTCATAAACCCTACTCGTGTCATTCATAAACCCTACTCGTGTCATTCATAAACCCTACTCGTGTCATTCATAAACCCTCTCGTGGTCATTCATAAACCCTACTCGTGTCATTCATAAACCCTACTCGTGTCATTCATAAACCCTACTCGTGTCATTCATAAACCCTACTTGTTCTTAAATGTCAGTATATGGCTGTGTACTTTTCCTTGCAAGTCATGCACATTGAGGCTTCCTCCTACTTTAGTAGATATGAATGCATGATAGATGTTTGTCCTATACAGAGCCTGGTCAGTATCACAAACTTTTTGGACAATGTGTAGCTCTGCTACTTTCCTATGGTTGGTTTTATTTTATGTAATTGATTGTTTGGGCAAGAGTCCCAAAGCTCTTGCTACCTTTTTTCCCCAATTATCTCAAAGTATTTAATTTAATGCAATGTATTCTTTCCTAATTTAGTGGCTTTCATATGTTGTTGATCTTTGAACTCACCCAAGGATTCTGAGTAAAGTATAGTTTCATCTCGTTTATCAATTTTGTTTTAAGCATTTCAAAAAAAAAAAAAAAAAAAATCATCCCAAAGAATTATATATACTTGTAACGAGGGAGGGGAAATAACGTGTAAATAAAATTACCGAGGGACAGTTAAAATAAAATATTCCCCAACAGTTATTTTAACTGTCCCTCGCTAATTTTATTTACACGTTATTTCCCCCCTCGTTACAAGTATATATTTTTGTTTGTTATTTTAGTGTGTTTTTTTTTTTGCTCTTCATTGTCGTTAATATTCTTTTTCGTTGATTAATTATCCAGCGATTGTCTCCTGATGAGATGTTGGTTGAAAGGGCCTTAGAGACTTAAAATTAAAATCAATACATTCCTTGTTTTTAAAACTATATATAAATTTTGTACCTCTAAGCATTTGTATGTATATATATATATATATATTTTTTTTTATATTTTCAGATATAATTTCAAGAATATTATAATTCTATTTATTTTAATATTTTTGAATAGTTCTTTTAAGCTGGTGGTGGTTCTTGTTTCAGTAAGAATGAATGTGCAATTTTAGTGTGACCTATTAGTAGCTGTGTTATAGTAACCTCTTCCCTTCCATTATACCACTCACATATCCTAGCTTACAACACCTGCTATTCCCAAGCAGTCACTCATCTAGGTACTGACCAGGCTCAATATTGCTTAACTTCAGTATTCATATGAGAATTGGTGTTTCAGCATGATATGGCCATAAGCCGAAAACAACTAAGAAAATTGATCTGAATGAATCGACGTATAATAGTAACACCATATTCTCAGTAATTCAAATATTACTGAAGACCAAAAATTGAATGTGCAAGTGAAAAAAAATGTTTTGAATTAATCACGATTATTCTGCATAGCTTAGCCACTTTAACAATGCTGATAATAGTTTACAATTTCTGTTCATGCTCATCCCTCAAATTAATGCTAATTTTAGGGCAGTAAATTTGTCACATGTCACATTAATAGCTACTACTATATTGATTTTTGGGTGCTAAATAGCTTATTAAATACCTAAAACAACTATCATATTTAAGAGAAATTATTTCCTCCAGCAGATCAGAATTTTAAAAAAAAAAAAAAACCCACCTTAAAACTTTGCTTATTGTATCAGTTTTTACAAGTAAACATTACTATTGCTTGTTTAAAAGTTTCATTTTATAGAAATAATACTAACTATAATAGTCTAATTGACAATTTAACAATTCTATGATTTGCATTTTTGTCCGCATAATCATTAATGACATTAAAAAAAAGAACGTAAGAAAATAGTAACATTTTTAATCCTGAGGAAAAATAAATAGTTTGCTGTTAAGGAAAGCAGTGATGTATGTTTAGAGGCAGATAAAGTGGTTTCTTTTGATTGTTTCTTACTAAAAAAAAAAAAAAAAATCTAAATATTTAAGGAAAAAATAAAAAAAATGAACTTACTGCATCAGTTTTTCCAGGTCTAAGCCTTTCTAGAATGCTTTCAACTGTACTTCGCCTGAAAGAAAAGGGAGATTTTTTTCCTAAAAAGTATGAACACTGATACTACAGAAATTTTCCTGTATTTAAGTGTCTTAGTAATTTAAAAAGAAATACATTGTCAAATCATTACTAACAAGTATGACAAATTACACACAAATTTAGAAATGTTACTATATACAAAAAAGTTAATCTAGTTCTAATCTTAATGCAAAAAGGTGGTTTTATTTCTCATTAAACACTGGCAGCAGGTACCACAGCTGTCAATTCATAAAAATTTTAGTTTTGTCATTTTTCCACATCTTCAGTAAGCAAACATCTTTCAAAATGAGATCAAGATTTCACATTAATGAATTTGACTCCACGCCATTTCAAGTAATTTTCATTTCAATGTAATTATTAATCTGCTAACAATTAATCAGCAAAAGTTTCAAAATGACATTACCAATAAATTATATACAAAATAAAATTTTTTCCAAATGTTTATATTTTTATGTAAAGATTTGTGTGCAGATAGTTGGAATGGTCAGTTTTATCATGTAAAATTTTATAGGGACTACAAAGTGAATAATTTTTTTTTCTTTACAGAAACCATTTTTTTTTTTTTTAAAAAGATAATAAAAAAGGTTCACATTCATGAATCAAAGACACTTAAAAAAAAAAATAAAAAAAATCACATAGTAACATTCATTTAAACCAAATCAAAGTTATTTTCAAATTTTTTTAGATATATTACAACAGCTTCAGCAATTCATGGGAGGTAACTATCAAGTGAATGCACAGTACAAAGCAATAAAGAAATGTCAAAATAAAAATTGATTCTATTTGACAATGGCATTTTAATATTTTTATTGACAGAACTGTTAATAGTTTTTCAAATGATCAGTGACAATGAAATATTAATAGTATGGCTAATAGCAAACAAAAGTCTTTGTAATCTCAATATTACATCTGAGAAGTTTTACTATAGATATTACATGATCATATAAGCACATATACAAAATATATAAAAGAAAAAATAATCACCATTTGCTGACTGAAATAATTTATACATTTCTTTTACTTTAAATTGCTTTCATATATTTCTTTAGTTTGAAGCTGTTCTGATGTGGCTATCTTGAAAATACAATCATTTGCTGCTGCTATCATCATGGCTGAAAGCTCATATCATGCAACTTTGGAAGCTAATTTTAAAGGAGTTGCATTATACACAAAATATAAAGTTAGCATATGTACTGCCAGCCTTGGCTATGCCATTTACTAAATTATATATTCATCTACTGTAATTATTTAAAATAAGGATGATTTTGATAAAACTGATTTTTATTTCACTGTATCCAATAATAATAATGCATGTAATATTCACATATCAGCATGCACGTTTTCCATTGTCTACGTTTATAAGATGTTTAGCTGTTTCTCGTTTGTTTATGGCTGTATGCATTTATGCAACAAGTATAGGGTTACTGACAATGCTTTTATCATTCTCTTTGTGTTTTTTTATTTTTAACTTATTTAACTAGAAGATGGGGATAAAGAGACAGAGGAAAAGAGGTTAGTCTGTTGTAATTTGGTTTCTCAAAAAAGGAACTCACATGATAAATGATAAAATTATTTTCTATAAATGAAAATTTAGGGGTTGCAAGATACACGAGATTGCACATTACATGAGTGTGTGTGTGTGTGTATATATATATATATGCAGGCACACTTTTCACTCACCCTGTGTGTGTGTGTGTGTGTGTGTGTGTAACTCCATTTTATAACACTTTTAATTTATTTAATAATTATAATTTTTACAAGAAATTGATAAGAGAGGAAAGCATTTAGCATAAGGCTTTATTTAAAATTCGATATGGACACCAGATTCCGCTACCAGCTTCTTGAGCCACCCAGAAATCACGTCAACTGATTTCACCAGGAACTCTTATAGTATGACAGACATAACATCTTGTATTCACCCTTCAAGTATAGTAGACTTGCTCCTTTAACCACCCTTACAAAAAAAAACAAAAAAAACACACACACACAGTTAAGTCAGGACTCCTGGCTGTACACTCATACATAAAATAGAGTTACTTTTCAATCACCTAGTATATATAATTTTTATCACTTTAAACATTTTTAGTGGATCAGCATTTTAGCTGTCTTTATTTAAAGAAAAATAAAAAAATAGAAATAAAATAAAAAAATAAAAAATATATATATTTTGTCTACCAGCTCAAATATTTGAGAAATCTTGTTAAAAGAATACTGCCCCACCCCATATTCTTTAATAATATTTTTAAAATATTTAGGGCAATAGATGAAATAAAGTAGTTCAAAATAAACAGAGCTCATACTTATATATATATATATATATTTATTAAAGACATTTTTATGTTTAACGTTCTTTTTTATAGATACAAGTATTTAAGTAAATGCTCTGTTTATAATAAACAGTATTAAATAACATTTAACGGCCTGAATGTCCGAGAAATTTTCAAAGAACGAATATTTTCTATGAAAATTTCTGACATTTTTGATATTCTTTGTTGCTAGACAAAGAAGAGTATGACAAAGTGTCCAGACAGTCTTCATGCTTGCTGAAATTCTTGAAACCAATTTTTCCAGCAACCTCCTCCTTGAACTCTTTGTACTGACTGATGATTTCATCACAATCAGACCTGCTGACTTGTTTTCTGATTATCATGTGGGAAAGACATCTTTTTAAACTGTCTTCTGCGGCTAATTTTTTTTCAAATAGATTCAGATTTCAGCCATGCAAGTGACCTTACAAGAGGGTATCTAAGGGCGACTTTGCCAAAAGTTTCTCAATGATGGTGATGAACATTGCATGCAGAAATGCAACAAAGACAAACAGATCTTTTGTTGACATTTCCTTTAAATAAATTTTGTATAGCCCTAAATACCAGAAATCTACACAATCTTTGCAGCATCTTTATGCAGGTTTGGGTTTGACAAAATTCTTAGAAATCCATTTAGTTTGGGAAATGTAATTATTTTTTAGTTTCATGATCATGTTAAAAGAGTATGCTGCAAGGAAAAGAAGCAACAGTTTATCACTATTTTATCAGAAATGGCTCATGTGTTTTCAAACAGACACAAAAATCTGCAGTTTTCCTGGAAATAAAACAGTGTTCACATTTGACACCACAGAAGAGAAAGACTTGGTCAGAGGGACCATTTTTCTTCTTTTTTAAATTAAGTTCACAAATTTGATGACATCTGGCCAAATGTCTAGGAGATATTAACATGTTTGTACATTTTCTAGCCATCTATGGCAGTAATACAAAAGTCATTAAAAGGAACAGGGTTGCCAGATTGAACTTTTAAAGCCAAGCAATAAAAGCCAAATAATTTTAATATATTTCATCATTTTTTTTTCACACTTACAACAAAAGCTAGAGATACAGGTCATTATTACCCTGCAAACTTTAAAAACATTTTTCTTATTTTTTGAAAAATACATTTTCTATCCTAAGACATCAAAGGCACATTTTCTATATCAACCTTCCCATCTACATTTTCTTTGAGTCAAATTTTATTCTTTTGGCAATAATTCAGACTAGGGGTTCTCAACTGGGGTCCACAGGCAAAATATAATAAATTAGGGGTCCACAATGATATTTTGGTGGTTCATGAAGAAAGCCAACTTGGAATGGTTTTATTATTATTTTTATTATTTCCTGAGGAAACTACAGTTGTATAAAAATAATATCAGGCATTGTGCATTTGAACAGGTTCCTTGTTTGGCCTCTGTTAGCAGCAATTTGAAAGATGAAGATCTTGCATTATATGGTGAATATTTGGAAAATATGTATGAAGATATGCAAACTCAGTTTAGTGACCTACTCATGATGGATATACGAACTTAGGTTTCAGTTCCTTTCAAAGTTAATGTTGCCGATAGACATTTTTGCAAGAGCCCCTCATCAAATTACAAAGTGATAAAATAATGTATACAAAATTCCAAGTACAATATATGGAAAACAAATGATATTGCTACAAAGTACCCTTTGCACTGGGATAAAGCACAGCTCTACATTATTGCTTTTCCAACAGTTTCTCAAATGTTATCAAAAGTTCTCAATAGACTTGACATTGTGAAAAGAGGTGATCTTCAACTATCATTAACATCGATGGAACCAGATATAAAGAAACTTGTCTAGCAGCATCAACCATAGGGATCTCATTGAATAAATATGCATTTTTTTTCTTCTAATCACACACTTAATTTAAATTGGTTTATTAAAATTTTTAACCAGTGTGCATAAATAAATAAATACTGCAGTGAATTCAATTGCCTGAAGAGCTCCGCTCCTCATAGGATTGACCATGGAAAAAACATTGTAATATTGTAATACAAGATATTGATCAATAAAAATTATTACTATAATTACTATTATAATTGTAGAACAATTTATTTGCATTAGTTTCCATTTAAAAATAAAGCTTAATTATATAATATTTCTTTGATTATTAAAACCTCAAAATTTTTTATTTCTTATAAGAATATTGTTGTCTTATGTCAAATAGCAATTAAGGGGTCCACCAAGAAAAAAAGAGGGGTCCATAGCTAAAAAAAAAGTTTAGAACCAGTGATTTAGACAAATGTAGCTTTCATAGATACACATTAACGCAGGATGCATAAAGTATGTATTTTTTTTTTCAGCCTGATCTTAACCAGTAATGACTAGAGATCAAAAGAACTTTTTACTTTTGAAATTGACATGTGAATAAAATTTCTTCAATTGTTCAAATTAAAAAAAAAAAAAAAAAAATCTACTAAAATGTATTTTATTACCGTAAAATAATTTTCCTTTCAACTACAAATTCAATGTGTGTGAATTTATCTTTGATGGAGATGTTTATTTGTCTTTGATGACTTATCCTTGCTTTTCCTCTTGTTGAGTGAGGGTAGCAGCTAGAAGACACATCATGTCCTTTCTTCCTCATCAGCTAAATGAGAAAATACAGAAGTAACAAAGAGGGCATGAACTTGTTCTAATCAAGGAA